GGAGGACAAGAACCCAATAAGTTCCCGTTACCATATCAAAGATTATGAAACAGACAACAATTGTAAACTGATGACAATTTTTAATAATTGGATGAGTTTTTTTTATATTTCATTTAAAAAACGCTAATGCTGACATATATCAGAGAGAAAAACCAAACAACCCTTTCTATTATGTTTGGCTTATTTTAACACTATTGAACATCTAGTCAGCCAAGGATTTTCGGGGTTTTTTTTTGAGGTGGAGTTCAAAAACTCTGTTTATTCCGATTCATCTTCACATATCACAACAAAGAACAGATAACAAGCAAACATAATTAACAGAGTAAAGCAAAAAAAAAAAAAAACCAAACAAACAAACAAAATTCAATCAAGAGCTAATGGAAAAAAATACAAAACAATTAACAATATACCAATATAACCCCAATAAAAACGAAACATATCACAGAAAACGTTAAGGCATAACATGAAAAAGTAAACTGAATTCAAAATAAAAACAAAAGTCAATTTTATAGCAAATAGAATCATCAAAGTACAGTATACACAGATAAACATGCAGAAAGTTCATCTAGGCGTGTCACCTTTTTCTGTGGTCGATCCCTATATGTTTGTGTTCTTTAAAATAAAAGTCAAATTTTGTGCATTTTTAAATGACCTCAAATGATCCCTAGATCACCTTTGACCTCCAATTTCAGAAAAGTTGTGATGAACCCCGACCCAAGGATCACTCCAAGTTACATTAAAATCCATCTCATTCTGTTAACAAACTTTGAAGCATATTAAAACAATTACCTCTAATGACCCCTACATGACCTCTGACCACAGTAATCCGATGAAAAATTGTGTCTTCCCAGCCAAGGGTCACTGCATCCAAGTTTCATCAAAATCTGTAAAAGCATGTAGAAGTACCCCATTTATACAGGATGAGTAAAAAAAAAAAAGCGGAACCCAAACCCCCCAAAATGATATCTCATATTTAAAACAATATTTACCAAAAAAATAATAATGACTGGAAAGCCAATTTCATAAGCGACTTAAATATGAAAAAAAAATACTGAAATTGCTCAGTCTCATCAAAGAATATCACCATTTAAACGCAATGACCCTAAAACCCTAAAGTGAATATTTAATAATAATGTAACGGACAGTCTATGCAGTCCTTTTAATGTCCTTGCTTTCTAGCACTAGTGCTCCGGCGGAGGGGCTCCGGCGGCGCGCACCTGACCTGGTTTTGAGTCTGGCTAGCGCGCGCTCCGTAAATAGGCTCTTTAAGTAGGTTGCTTAATAAGTGGGGTTTCTTTTGTTGGGGGACGCGGGAAAGGTTTGGCAAGATGCCGGGGTCATTGCAAGTTGTTACAATTGTAAACATTTGTTCAGACTGTGTGTATTTCTATGCTGGGAATCAGCAGTCGTGGTACTGGTAGCAGTGTGGCAGGTTGACCACAGAGTTTTTCGGTGCTGAATAAATACGAGTTTCTTCAGAAGTTGGAAATCCTGTGTGTTTGTCCTCTTTTCTTGCGTTTGGCCGGACTAGGAGGACAAGAACCCAATAAGTTCCCGTAACAATAACACAGATTATGAAACAGACAAACATTGTGAACTGATGACAATTTTTAATAATTGGAAGAGTTTTTTTTATATAGGTTTTCTCGGTCAATTTCGGCAAATGAGCAGCCAATTTAACCACTACGCTATTCTATTTCGCGCGAAATCAAATGCTACTGAAAAGGGTCATTCGATTTCGTTTTATGACCAGTCAAATGTACTGTTGCGTCATTCGATTTAACAAAATAATCATGCAATTTAACAATTCAACAAAGCAGCATTCAAATTAGCAGGAGCTTTTTGAGGCGTGTGTTTAGTCATTCAAATTCATTTTTGGGCAGTCATTTCTGGAATTTGTGCAATCTAAAAACGCTTTGTTAAATATTTGTTTCCTTAAGAATGTTGAAGGCATAACTACGGTTCACTTTTTGGCACTTGAGTCACTTTGCCGATGTACTTCGAAGACGAGCTTTCGCTACAGTTTAACACGCATATTTCTAGAAATGGCAGCTTGTGGTCGCTACGCTAGGTAGATCGAGAAAGGTTGATTGAGGCCTTCGAGGGAAACGAGCAAGACTACCTTGAGCTTGCAGTCAATTTGAACATCAACAAGTCCACAGCCAGATCAATTGTTGCAACATATTTGAGGACTGGAAGGCGAGAGACGCTGGCAAGAGGAGGAGTAACCCACAGCAAGATGGATGATGACATGCGAAACCATCTACAAGGCATCCTCGACGCTAATCCCGTCTTGACACTTTAACAAATGAAGGCTAGTTTGAGTGAGCATCTGCCAGAGAAGCCCCAGGTTTCTACTGCCACCATAGCCAGGGCCTTGGATGGGATGATGATTACACTGAAACTAGTGGAGGACGTCCCTGATGCAAGAAATTCCCCTGAAGTTCTTGATCAACACGTCCAGTATGGTGAGTGGTTCCTGCAGCTCGGTGTTCTGGCGCATCTAGTCTTCATTGACGAGACAGGTTATAACGTCTGGACTCGACGCTCCCAGGGTAGAGCTCCACAAGAGATCGATGCAAGACGAGTCGTCGACAGACAACGAGGGAGAAATTCCAATGTCACCTTCGCTGTTTCTAGTAAAGTAGGCTTGGTGCACCACCGAATCGCATTCGAAACTGTGACGCGAGAGAGATTCGAGGAGTTCTTGCGGACACAATTCAAGAGTGTGATGCAGTTTTTCCAGACGACGAACCCATTTACCTCATATACGACAATGCGAGGCCTCACGTGCGAGCCCAACTCCCCAAAGGTGCCAACCCAATGATCCAGCTGAAGCGCCTCCCTCCCTATACTCCCCATTCCTGAACAGCACGGAGATGGCACACTCTGCATTCAAGGCTGCAGTTAAACGCATCCTTGGGTTACCTGAGTGGCAACAACGTGTCGGAGACAGACAGGCTGCCCAGCAAGCAGGAATGAACATGCAGCAGTGGAGGTGCGATCTCCTTCAACAAGCAGCCATCCAGAGCGTTGATGTCATCACCCAAGTGAAGTGCATGCAGTGGTACAACCATACCCAAACATATATGCCAAGATGTATGGCACGCCAACAGATTTATGGTTGAGGAAGAAACAACATAAACAATAAAAAACCAGGAAAAACATTAAAAAACACCCCATTCAAACACAATACAAAATTAGGTCTTGATCAGTTAACCAATAAAGATCCCCCCCCAAAAAAAAATGAAGAAGAAAACAAAGAAGAAGAAAAAACCTCATTGGCCCCATGTAAAGTCTACTGGAAGCATAAATAAAGAAAACAAGGTTTGCCTGAATTAAAGTGAAGATACGAAACAGTTGCCTAGTACAGTTTATCTGTTTATTCGTATTTCTTTAGTCGTACTTATTTGAATTCTCTTTAAGCGAAATTGATTGCCTCTTTACGAAATTGAAAAAAATTAAATCAGTAAAATCTCCAGTCGAACCAGCTTTGCTAAATTGAATGATGATTGTGTGTCACGAAAAAGAATGACGATATGCTAAATTGAACACAGTGCTAAAGGAATTTGAATGCCTCAAAACGAAATTGAATGGCCGAATTCTGAATTTGAAATGCAGTAACAACTGGAGAGGCAAAATAGCTTCAATTCGAACGCACGAAAATTAAATTGGCTGCTCATTTGCCGAAATTGACCGAGAAAACCTATATTTCATTTAAAAACGCTAATGCTGACATATATCAGAGAGAAAAACCAAACAACCCCTTTCTATTATGTTTGGCTTATTTTAACACTATTGAACATCTAGTCAGCCAAGGATTTTGGTGGTTTTTTTTGAGGTGGAGTTCAAAGACTCTGTTTATTCCGATTCATCTTTGCATATCACAACAAAGAACAGATAACAAACAAACATGATTAACAGAGTAAAGCCAAAAAAAAAGAAAAAACCCAACAAAATTCAATCAAGAGCTAATGAAAAAAATACAAAACAATTACAATATACCAATACAATGTATAACCCCAATAAAACGAAAAATATCACAGAAAACGTTAAGGCATAACATAAATAAGTAAACTGAATTCAAAATAAAAACAAAAGTCAATTTAGCAAATAGAAACACCAAAGTACAGTATACACAGATAGACATGCAAAAAGTATATCTAGGCGTGTCACCTTTTTCTGTGGTCGATCCCTATATGTTTGTGTTCTTTAAAAAAATTCAAATTTTGTGCATTTTTAAATGACCTCAAATGATCCCTAGATCACCTTTGACCTCCTATTTCAGAAGAGTTGTGATGAACCCCCACCCAAGGACAACTTTAAGTTACATTAAAATCCATCAAATTCTGTTAACAAACTTTGAAGCATATTAAAACAATTACCTCTAATGACCCCTACATGACCTCTGACCTCAGTAATCCGATGAAAAATTGTGTCTTCCCACCCAAGGGTCACTACATCCAAGTTTCATCAAAATCCGTAAAAGCATGTAGAAGTTACTCCATACATACAGGGTGAGTAAAAAAAAAAAACGGAACCCAAACCCCCCAAAATTATATCTCATATTTAAAACAATATCTAGCAAAAAAATAATAATGACTTTAGAGCCAATTTCATAAGCGACTTTACGATGAGAAAAAATACTGAAATTGCTCAGTCTCTTCAAAGAATATCACCATTAAAACGCAATGACCCTAAAACCGGTTTCGTCCCATGTCATGCAACAATGCATTGCATGGAGTATAATGTCCTACATAAAAAAATGTTCTTTGCAAATACATGAATGCCAGCCCCCCCCCCCCCCCTCCCGGCGACGGGCCTGATTTCCAGTCTTGATTGAAGTACTGTTACTGATCCCTTCTGTGTTGAACACTAGCATTTTACAATTCTGCTTTAAAGCAATACAAACATTATAATTAGATCAAGGCAGATGCTGTAATATGTTAATAGTTTTATGAGGATGATCCTCATTAAATTACAAACAATATAATTTTTTAGGCATTAGACAGTCATTCACATCCAGCAAGAATTGGAGCTATTTCTGGTATAGCAGCTGCATTGTAGTCATAGACAAGCCAAGTTTATAATAAACTTATGACGACTAGAATTAAGCCTAAGGGCCAAATCTTCTTGAAATTTCATTTTCATTTTCAGATATTTCTTGAAAAAGGTAAATGATGATTATGAACAATTAGCCCTATAATTCCAACATTTTTTTTATCCAGAATGGCTTAAAAATTAAATATTGAGCATTTATCAAGAACGCCAAAATCTGCCTAAAAAGACACTCAAGGCGCTTTGCAAAATTAAAAAATAAACCATTATTATAATAATTAATTAAAGAAACAAAATTGTAATTGTAACATAACAAGGTGTGAAAATATCAATACAAAGTATTAAGATGTCAAAGATAAAAATAGTAAACAAAATGCTAAATAAATACACACATCAATGAAACAGAACATGAAATATGCACTAAATCAAAATCAAAATACAACCCCCCCACTTAAAATGTGTTGCATCCTGGCCATGGCTTCCTGCAATGTTAAGAAAGAAAAGCATACATAAAAGATCAACATCTATGGTAAAGAAACTTTGGCAATCAAACCACCATATTAGCTGCAGCACACAAACAACTTGTGGCAATTCTTGAAAGGACATTTGTGATGAAATTAGTTTATGAACACATTTTGTACAACTTTCTACTCCTCTTCAATGAATTATCTATTTCGCTTCCCTATTTATTGAAAAATGCACTTACAGGCATTTCACAAAATTCCTTGCTCAGTGAACACATTTGTGGGAAAGGTTTGCTCATTTGGCTTACTGCCATGTACTGACACAACAAATCACTACAGAAATCACGAAAGAAATGAAAATTTACGCAAGCAAACTTTCCAAAATTCTAGTAACTTTTTGTGCTGAAATAGACGTAACATTGAGGTTTCCGCCCAGAACGAATCATCACAGTTTTGCTCATGAATATGGAAATTTGCATTTGCATAAAAGCAAAAGGCACCAAAATACCCTGGCATAATGAAAATGGAAAACGGTTAAATGGGACACAAAGGTGCATTTTTAATGATTGCAGTAAAAAAAATACATTGAATGGGCCCTTTAAAAAATGTCTTATTGCAAAGGATTATGTGAATTGTACTACTACCCGCACACTTATTACACTCATGCTATAAGCCAAGCAGCCAAATGAATCTTATGGACATTCAAATGAAAAGGAATAAGCATGCTCTGTGTGAGGACCAGTGCATAAATTACATACCGTGTGAGGACTACAGACTATGTATTAAAGTCCTCAATCTGTTGTTGAGAACAGTACTCGCATGTACATGTATGTTTGTGTGCTTAGTCTATGGTAGAATTAAAAGTAGAGTAGATCATTTGCAGCTATCCAAAAAAGAAACTGACCAAATTATTGTTGAAAGCTTACTTGGTTTAAATATAGTAATGGCAACAAACTCCCTGTGAAAATATTCTTTCTGGCATGCTGTCATTTTCAGAAAACAGTAAAAGAAGGCAATTTCCAAAGATACATCCAGTGAGTAGTAAGGTTTGTTATTTGAAGAATCTGTGAATGGGTGCGTGCAAGCACTGACATGTCACACAAGCACGCGCCATTGCTAACTATTATTTATCGGTTCGTTGCATGGCATCGCGTAGCTGCAATCAGCTGAATGAGAACATGTCCCAGATGCTGATTTTGGGCATAATTGAAAACGTGACTCTGCAACTTTTGATTTGAAATCGAGATCCCAGTATATTGGGTTCTTGGAATGTACAGCAATTACTGAGCTAAAATGTTTTCAGGTTAGTTGTTAAACATCTGCAGATTTTGAACAGTTTTGTAGCATCAAGCAAAAAAAATGCCTCAATGACAGGACCTCTCTTACCCTTATGACTCTACGCCCCGCCCTTTTTGAGCACCCATATACTGATTTCAAATAGACTGACACCACTTTATTGCTGAACATACCTGTTCATCAGTCTGTGATGTGTAGAGGTAGGTGTGGCTCTCCCCAATCTCAGCATTCATCTCAGCAATGGACCAATCAGCCTATATATGGAGGGCACAAAATATGAATGAATATTCAAAAATAGTGCTGCATGAACTGAACTGGGATGCAATAAAAGAGTAAGCCTTAAAAATGTGAGTTTTGAAAATTGTGCAACAAAGCACTGCTGATGCTGAATCACTGAAAGAAATAACAAGTTTTGTTATGATGAATATAATTTAAATGAACTACACTGTATGCAAGCATTGTGCTGTTGATTGCTATACATGCATGTAAAAGACCAACTGCACACGAGCTAAAATGCAGATAAATAAAAAGAAAGTGAAGGAAAATAAAACCCACAACAAAACAAAACTACGATCCAAAACCAATTACTGTCGGTTCATTTTTTAACTCTTTTTATTTGTTTATATTTGTCTACACAACAGACTTGAGTATCCATGGGCGTCAATTGGTGGGGGATGGGGGACAAGTCCCCCCTTCCCACTTTTTAAAGTCGGGGGATATCATATCGTTTGTGTCCCTACCCCCACTTTATTCGTCCCAGAATTAAAATTGTTGCCAACATAATGATCCTATAGCTCACAATAGCTGATGACTTCAAACTCAAAAATAATGTTTAAAAGATGATTATTTTGCTCTTCAAAAATTTGTTGAAGTGGTCAGAAATTGCCTCAGATCACACCACAGAGCGTCTAGACTGCAACATTTCCCGGGGCCCTTAAGCGGGCCCTAGACTCCATGCTGTTAGGGCTTTGCGCTCGCATTAACTCTGTTCAAGATATGCCCCCCCCCCCCGACCTTTGAGAAGCCATTGACGCCCTTGTGAATATCCTGACTGGAAACATATCAAAGGATATTAAAACAGGTGTCATCTGCAATAAGAGTCAGCTAGAATAACTGCATCAGGTAATTGACCCTGTGGCTTCTTTATGTTTACCTTTCTGATACACCTGTCTGTCATATTGCCAGCCCAGGACCTTTGGATCCATTAGATATAAAACACAGTCAGCATGCTGCATTTGATTTCACTATGAGCACGTACCAAAGCTCAACATAAGTGGAATCTGGGGACTGCAAATATTACCAGATCAGAACCTTTGGATCCATTTGAGATAAAACACTGCATTTGATTTTACTATGAGCACGTACCACAGTGCTACGTTATCGGAATTTGGGTACTGGTACTGCAAATATTACCAGCCCAGGACCTTTGGATCCATTTGATATAAAACACTGTTTTTGATTTTACTTTGAGCACGTACCAAAGCGCTACATAAGTGGAACCAGGGACTGCCAATGAGTGTACTCAAAATCAGGTGACATGGACTGTGTTGATACAGAGGGGCGTATACATACAGTGGATCGCCATCTTTGTTCATTTCAACCATTGCCGTAAGTGACATCAGAATGGGAAGATAGCAATGGCTCATTTCATGTGTACCTGAAGGTAAGATTTTGATTTAGTGGGTCTACCTGTAAGTCTGTCTATACATTTGATATAAATCAACAGCAGCACATTATCTCATATGAAGTACATGTACATGTAAACTCAGTATTTGCCAATTACAAGTGTATACGTACATGTATTTACTGGAAATTCAGGTGGATCCGTCAAACCTGTTAGAATACAGACATGTGGATTACATGAATCTCCTTGCATTCATGACAGAAATAAGTGACGTGCATTGTTTGTACTTACATGTAGTCTCTTACAAAATAAGTGTTGGACCTTTAAGAAGATTCGGCACAAGTGTAGCTTAGTAAATCACAAAATAATAATAAAACAACAAAAAATAAACCCAATTTGAAGGTAAGCCTTTTTTTTTTTAAATTAGTGCACTTTTCTTGCAGAAAAGTGGACTATTTTGACAAGTCTACAATTGAAATATGGGCCAGTTTAAAGAACTTGAAATATGGTGTTTTTTTTTCGGTGCAGACAATATTTGGTTGCAGACTAATGCCCACCCCGATTCAAACCACCCAGCTGACCCAGGCAAGCTCAGAGGTGGAGTGATAAGACGTCTGCACTAAACAGGAGGTACTGGGTTCGAGTCCCACCTGAGTATTAAACAGTAAGACTGGCCTATTTTAAAACAAGTGCCCTTTTGTTAAACCAGAGTGCCCTTTTTGTTACCAGCGGCCTTTTACGAGTGCCTAGCTGTTTGGAATTTCATGCTACTGTCAGCAATTGTGCCACCCCAAAAAGTGCCACATATTGTCCATGATTGCACAAAATTTTCAGGAAAAAATACGTTCTTACATTAAAAAGGTAACCCTATTACACATAGGCATAGCCAACAGGGAGGGGGATTAGTAAGGGTGTTATTAATTCCCCCCCCCAAAAAAATATTTTGTATTGACTGCCTTTTCCATTGAAATGCCCTTTTTTTCACCAGCGCTTACCCCCCCCCCCCCCCCAATATTTGTGAAGAGTGCCCTTATTTTGTTAATAAGTGCCCGTTTGACAAAAAGTCAGGCATTTTGTGTGCCAGGGGCCTTTACGAGTGCCTTTCTATCTTTTTTAATTTAGCGTGTGTATTGCCCTAAAAAGTGCTATATGTTGTCCGTTAGTGTGCAACCTCGTTGGTTTTGAACAGCGCCCCCATCGTAAGATGATACCAGGCCCCCCCCCCCCCCCCCCCCCCCCCCCCCCCCCCCCCCCCCCCCCCCCCCCCCCCCGTGTATGGGAGAATTTTTATGGGGGGGGGGTATTACACATTTCTTTTTAAGAAATGTTTAACACTCCCCCCCCCCCAATAAAAATGACCACAAGTTACAAATTTTGTTGTCACTAATTGCTATTTTCTTCTGGAAAAAAATATAACATTAAGTTTGAATCAAGCATGTAATAAACCTTCAATTTTATGAATACTCTACTTGACAAAAAATTTCAACTTTGCATCTTACTTATTTCAACCAAATTATCGTCTGAAGTTCAAATATATGTAATTACAAACATTTTACTTAATGTGCTTCATTTGTAGATTAAAGGTCTCTCCTTTCACATCAAGTGGAGATGGCATCAAATGTTACAGCTCAATCAGTGTTGGAGAAGATTAGTGTGGATCATCTGGAATGCTCCATCTGCACCAACCGTTTCAGGCAGCCCAAACTGCTGGACTGTTTGCACAGTTTTTGCCTGCAATGCCTCCATGACCTCATACAGAGCCAAGATCCTAGTGGTACAAAGCTGACATGTCCTCTGTGCAGACGTGAAACCATGTTGAAAGGGTCTGGGGTTGCTGATCTCCCTAATAACTTTGCATTCAGTGCCCTGGTGGAGGAAGTTACGATGCAGGAAAAGCTACTGGAAGGTCAAGGGTCAGAGATCAAATGTCAAGCCTGTGATGAGGAGAATCAGGCAATTTCGAGATGCATGGACTGTGATAATTTCCTCTGTCAAGAATGTCAAAGGGCTCATGAACGTATGACTTTGATGAAATCTCACAAAATCTACACACTGGCTCAACTTCAATCAGGACAAATTGTTTATAAGAGTAAACTAAGAGATGAAGTTCCGAAATGTTGCAAGCATCCAGATCAGAATCTCAATGTCTACTGCAACTCATGTGAGCAAGTCATATGCACAACATGCTCTGTACTTGATCATGCAAAACACTCACTCACTGGATTACCTGAGGCAGTAGAGAAATGTAAGAAGAAGGTCACAGAAATGGTCCAAAAAAGTGAGAGCACAAAAACTGAATTGATCACCACTATCAAGGAGACGACCAAATCTCGCAAGGATTTGGACAACATGTTTGCCAACACTCACAAGAAAATCTCAGAAAAGGCTCAACAGGAGATTACAAAGATCCAAGAGGAGGTTGCAAAGATTCAAAAGGAAGAACAGAAATTAAAGCAAGAGACGGACAGGATTTATGAAGACAGAGTCAGAACATTTGAAGCTGCTCAAGCTAACAACAGGAAAGAGGTGACACAGACAGAGCACAAGCTGGAGGAGGTCAAACAACTCATGAATCAAGCAAGTTGCTATGAGATTCTTGAACTTCAGCAGAAGCTCTTGCATAACCTCAGTGAATTGACAGGGAAACAGCCACAGCAAGTTCCTGACAAGTTGACCTTCATGGATTTTGAAGAAGGTAAGAGGTCACTTGGGAGACTCATTGTGGAGGAAGAGACAAAGGCTGCAGAAAAGCAATCACCAAGACCTGGAAGATCATGTGTGGAGGAAAAATGGGAACTAAAGACTAATGTCAAGAACTTTAAATTAACATTTGGATTTATAGCACAGGGTTTATCACTCTCTAATGATAAAATAATTGTACTACATGTACCTAAAAAATATCATGGAAAAGGAAAGAGTGGCGCACTGTTTACAACATCAATTCCAAATAGTCACCAGGAACAATCTCCTATCCCACAAAGGCTACAAATCAATGGCCTCACTGATGTAGGGTGTATTGCAGTGAGCAAGGATGACAAGCTCCTTGCTCTAGATGGTCCAGTAGTCAAGGTCTTCAACAAGCAACATCAGCTCCTCCATCAGTTCACACCAGGTAGAGGGTCAGACACTCAACCAACATGCCTTGCAGTGGATGACAGCAATCTGATAGCAGTGGGTTATAAAGGCAAGAATGAGATATCTCTACACAACCCAGATGGATCCCTCATCAGGAGACTGCCTGCTCCAATGATTGAGTATTATCTAACAATGTACAATCACCGCCTTATCTACACAAACTATGGCGACCGAAGGTTGGTGTGTGTAGACTACTATGGTGCCAGTGTATTCTCAGTAGACATGATCAGCAGCATGCAGTGGGGTGGGTTCCCTACTGGTGTGTGCTGTGACAGTGATGGCAGCATCTATGTTGCTGTGGATGGATATCCAACAGGTGATATTCTGCATTACAGTCCTGATGGCAAGTACATTGGATGGGTGATCAAGGGATGTGGTCATCCACGTGGCATCACATTTACATCAGGTGGTGATCTGGTAGTGGCTGCAGGAGAGTTTGTACAGATCTATCACCGAGTGTAAGGACAGATTAATTAATCTAAGGCTATCCATTGTATCCACAAACCACTTCCATCAGACATTGATCATTGTTATCACTGACAAATAACTTTAAAGTTCATTCCTTTAAATAACATTCTACAATACTGTATATTTGGTTTATTTCTATGGTCTTTGGTCTCTGTATGTGTTGACTCTAATACCTCAACCACTTCCCATTTGGAAAATCTTGGACTTCAACACCCAGCCTACTTTCTATAAAATCTTAGATCTGGTGGCCCAATAATGAGAGCAAAGGAATGACCCTTCACATTGTTTGCAAATAGCACAGTGCACATTTTTAAAGAACTACAAATGAGAGGGAAAGTATTACCAATGAGAGGGAAAGTATTACCAATGAGAGGGAAAGTATTACCAATGAGAGGGAAAGTATTATCAATGAGAGGGAAAGTATTACCAATGAGAGAGAAAGTATAACCACGAAAGGCAATTTAGTTCAATTTTCTCAGATTTGTCTCAGCAAATACGAAGTCAATGCATGATGTGTTTCCAAGTACCCTGCTCCTGTATAAAATGTAAATATTTACTTAAATTTTTTTATTCGAATTTTCAAGTATTGTGAAAACTGTTTAGTTTAAATGAATGGAACTGTTTTTCCAATGAGAAAGATTTTGCACATCCATGTACCTGTGACAAAAGTAAATTATCCCAAAGCAACTGGATGAAATGTGTGTGATTTTGAACTAAAGTGATAGTTTAAAAGTAAATCATATGCAATACCTTGGTTGTCTCTTTCACAGTGCTTTCTGCGTGCCTCATCAAATTAATATTAGTTTCATTACATTTACAACCAAATTGAAAATGAAAACCTTGTGCATTCTACTGAAATGATACATGGATGTTTGTAAATGCAGTTAGTATGATGGATGTACATTTGTAAACTGAATTTTTTTTTTTTTTTTGCCTTTCTTCATTTTTTTTTTGATAAACTTTTAAATACTTCAATAGAAGATGCACTTGGAACATTCTATGAATTTGGGGTCCACTTTTTCCTGTCCCTATATGTCTGACATGTACGATTTTGTAATTGAAGATGCACTCCTTTATGTGTGTACTCTTTCGTCCAAGAATGCTTCTGTGAATCAAATGACCTACTCAACAAATATTAATTAGTTTGAAGTCATTTTTAATGGCACTTGAATGGCAAATGATAAATTTCGGATGTGCAGGGACAGGAAAATGTCAGCCTTTGGATCTTAATTGTATAGAATGACCTAGTTGTGAGAGGTTCCGTATCATTACAATAATAGTTTAGTTTATTCCATAAAGGATTGATGCTTTTGCTTCTTTGAATGAGTATTGGTTAGCTAATTAATGCTGATAGACCAAGAAGTCTAAATGAAGCAATGAGCATATGCTTTAATTACAGAATATTTCTCCAAGAGAACTCAGCTTCCATGACAACAATGGCATTTCAGCTAAGACCCAAAGTCTGTTATTTTACCAATCAGCATCTCACATACGTTTCAGCTGCATTTTCCACTCGGCATGTGTGACTCCTAGGGTTATTTGCATACATAATGAGGGCTGCCTGTTTTACACCGATGATGCGACTCAAAAAGATGTATTTGTATTTTATCATTTATAGACCACTTAATTTGGAAGCCGTTGTTATTGTATCACTTGTTAATTTATTCACTGTATATTTGTCAAAGGTATTTTTAAAAACAAAACGGAGAAACAGTGATTTCATGAAACAACCATCTTTTCTCAGATGTTGTTTGTTTACATTTAGGACCATTTTGTTTTCCACAAAAACATAACATCAGTGGTTTCCCCAACATTTATACTTGTACATAATGGAGGATGGGATTATCAAGTAATCAGATTTGTGAACACATTTTCTCTTGAGTTTTTTAATCTCCTGATTGACTGCATTTGAATATTGTCAACATGCTCTCAAAATACATTGAGTATGTAACTATGAGCTTAGAAAATTAGTCAGGCTTGTTGAGGTCTAGTACCACGTATTGCGAGCCAAAAAACAAAAAAACAAAAAAACAATCACAACATCAACACTGTTTAGTCAGCTTTGAAAATTCTTTTTTTTTAACAAAAACAAAACAAAAATGTAATAAAAAGAAATCTTTTGTATGTTAAAGATCGCCTCATGGGGTTTTATGTTCAGTATTTTATTGTCCTATGAAAACTTCAAATGTCTAGAAATCCTAAGCGAAAAAGTGACACATGAATGATCAAAATTTGTTGGCACCTTAGCAACCACTTTACAAGGGAAAAATCAGAGCATGGAATTGTTTTTCCAAACTGAATGTCTAGCAATAGCATTTTTAGGGCATGCTTATACAAAAAATATTGAAAGTAAATATTTCTTTAAATTATGGGCATAAAGACAGTTAAACTTGACATCTAAAAGTGGAAGAACTGATATCGTATGGTTGCCGAGGGTGCAGTCAAGTACCCACCACACCTATAGATAACTTATCAATATCGCACATTCTATGGGAGTGAAATGTACCTGATCTGGAACTTTCTAAAGGTACCAGTGGCGTAACTAGGGTTAAGCTTCTAGGGGGCACCTGGGGGTTCACCAGGGGGTTCACTGGGGGGGGGGGGGGGGGGGGGGGGCAAGGAAGGTGACATATACATTTGTTGTGTGCAATTCAAGATTTCAAAATGGAGTGGGGGGGGGAGAGACACGAGGCCCATAGTTACACCAATGAAAGGTATAAAGAAATAAGAATTGAACAGTCTCTTTCATACAATTAACACTAGTTACGAACACTACTTACGAATCAATAAAAGGTGAATGGTATCAACGGAACCCCATTTAATTGCCTTATGTTACAGTCCACTCTTTTTTGAATAAATTAAAACACAAAATGGTTTTGAAGGAATGAAGCCTTAACACTAGTCTGAGTATCACCCATTGTATCACCCTCTCTGTCTCTGGTCCAACGTCTGATATATATACACATGCAAACTTATGTTACCCCAAGCCAGCCAATCGAAGTCGACATGAAATTATTTCATTCCAAAATCTGGACTTAGCTGTTGATTGGTCAATTTTGATGCCATGTTTTTGTAATACAACAACGGTCATAGATATCCAATGGAACCTGACATTGGCTTTCAAAACTGTAAGCATACACGGACGCTCAGTGTGGGCGAGACATGGGCGAGATGTGAACGTGCCGAGGGCATTCTCATTACGTGCGTTACTTAAAATATGATGTGATGATGATTCAAGGTCACACTCGCGCATCACGTAACATATCGCAACAGGCAGTGTGACACAGCCTATTTTTGCTGACACAATTCACAATGTAAAAGCATAATGGATGTTGTCTCTAGGTTTCATTAGATGTACATGACAAAAGGTTACCGAAGACCCGACATAGAATTAGAAGGCGCCTGCTGAACGGTCTCGAGGTCAAGACACAGTCTTGTTTTGCATAACAATCGCCGAATTTCTCGGATATCACAGACCCTTGCTGAGCAAGGGGATATTCCATAGACTACCTTAGCACCCATCCCCCTACAATTTAGAACAATTCACAATGCAGTGTGGGTGTGCCAACAAGTGTTTGCTGCAAGAGGCCACTTTTCAACTTAACGGTCTATTTAAAATTATACCAACTTCTACAAAATGAACTTACCTGTACATGGAAGTACATTGGGGAATCTGTTCTTGTTTTTGCAGACAGGTTTCTTGGCTTCCTCACAGTTGACTGCCACTGATATTTCATATAGCACCTACATTTCAAAGTGAACAAATTGACAGACAACACACATTACATTGCTTTTTCTCTATCTAGCTCGGACTTCAATTACGAATCAAGTTATCTCTTGCTGACTTAATCGTTTGCATATTCATTCTACAGCAAGTGCATGGACAACATAGCCATACACCAGTATGGCAGAAATATAGAACCAAGTCTGTGACTCGGACTTCAGTTTGACTTGAGTTACAAATTCTCAGACTTAACTTAAACTTACAATTGATGATGACTCAAACTCGGCTCTCATGACTCAACTCATGACTCAGACTAGACATCGGGGACATGTCACCGGTGACTCAACAAAACATTTTTGTCAAAACTGTCTGGTAATACATTTAGCTATTGCTGATCGAGTGCAAAATTTGGTTTGTTGTCGATAACAATTAGATGAAATAAAGCCCTTGTATTCTGATACATTCTGCTTTGCAAAATGGGAAGATCTGATAACCTCACCTGAAATTCTATGGACTACAGAAATTCGTAAAAGTTTTTGAGACTTTTAAATAAGTAAGATTTGAGGCTTTGCATGGTGAAGATACTAAATAATGAAAGTTTTGCGGAAACACCATGTGCGAATAATTTCTCAACTAAGAGAATGGTTCTGAAAAGAACCAGAGGTATAAACTCGACGTTCCGGTCAGTATGCTCTGACCGTCTTCAGGAGAGTGCCTAAACTCTAAGAAAGTGAATACTTAAGTAGCAAAAGGTGAAATCAATGGAGTGTGGAGTTTTAAAGTTGTGAGTTCTTGAAATATCACTGAGCCAAACTTTTACCTCAGAGTCAGCTTGAATTCCTCCACAGGGTCTTGCTTATCTATCTGTTTTTGCAGTGTGGTAATGGTGTTCGGTAGTGACTGACCCAATAAGCACCAACCTTAGCCGGTCTGGTGAACGTCATGTGTCACATCTCAGCCTCGCTGACCATGCGGTCTTGGTCCTTCTAGAGGGGATGTTGGTGTCAGGAGCTAGAATCGTCTCACCATGAGCCTGGGACCTGGGGAAAAGGGAGGGGGAAAATACAACATCAAATTTCACTGATAAAATACTGTACATATAGTCACCCATGGTTATTTTTGTAAACAGTTTTGCACATATTTCGTGCTGTTCGAATGTTCAAACCTCTGGCCAAAATTATTAGGCTGCTGCTGACAATGCCAAGAACTCATTTTACATTCTCCTGGATCAAAATCTCCTTGTCATTCCTCTGTTGGATAAAAATCATCTTCCTTAGTGATTTCATGTAGGGATCTTGCATAGGGATCACATACACAGTCTGGAGTGGCATCATCAACAAGCATCAGTTGTGACAACAGATTGCATCAAGTCAACCTGCACGCTGACTGAGACCTCACGATCACCAATACATTATGTCAGATGTCTGATAAGTTTATCTTAATTTTTTTTATGAATACCTCAATATTTTCAATATTTTTAGCATCCTTAGAAAATATATATAGTGGAAAAATCCATCTAGATTTCAAATTCAGGAAAAACAACTTCTAAGGAAATTTTGCATGCATGTGTAGCTCACGACGGAAGAAGTCCAGTATTTCAGACATTTATGTGGATATTGTGGCGAAACAGCCGGTGGACTGGTGTGAGTTTACCATGGCTCGCCTGGTTCCCCGACGTCGTGCGTAGGGTATCCGGTTCGTAAATGTGACGTCATCTCAACTTAGCCATACATGGTGTAGCATGGCACCAATGGAACCGGAAGTTAACGCAACTTGAGTGTTTATCCAATGGGCGCTCGTAATCAGTGGTGCGTGCGCGTGTATGACGAAGTCACTTACGAACTGGATAGCGCGTAGTCAGAGATTTGTAGGCAGTCCGTCTAAAGACGCCGTTGTGTGAACATCGATTAGTGGAAACTTAGCGTTGAGCTCCGAATCCGAGTAAACCTCGTGCATGTTCGCCGCTGCTGCTATCGGAAGTTTGGGCAACGCGGCGTGCAAGTCAAGGGCGGATGGTGAGACTTTAGAGTAATAATTAGCAAGGTAGACCTTTTGTTGTAAGGGGAAATTAGCCTGGGTGGCTGTTGGTTGAGCTGGTGACTGGAGACCTAAGGTTCGTGTGGTATGTGCAGCAGTATTCCCTGGTCGGGAATTGGGTTGCCTGTTGCCTGTCGACCTTTGTCGCCAGGAGTCACCTCGGGGTTAGAAACCGCGCTCTGTAACCTGAGCCCAGTGATTTTCTGCCTGTGAGGGTTGCTCTGGTAAAGTCTTAATCAGTGTGTGCAGTTCATAACTTGTTGCTGTTGATCGCACTGGGTGTGCACAGTGAGGTTCTTGCCACTGTGGGATAATCGTTCTAGCTAATCAACGAGGTTAATTACATAGAGCCTGCTTAGGCTGGTTGTTGTAAGCATTGTACAATAAGAGGTTATTGTTGTGTAAGGCTTACTTTATAGGGATAAACCTAGAGCAGCGGGGAACGTTGTTCTGCGAGGTTTATTGGCCACTCATTGAACTTTAAGCCTGTGTATTGGACCGAATAAAGAGTTGTTTCTTGTTCTCTAACACACATTTGTAGTGAGGTTTATTGAGGTTCCCTGGTCACCTCTAGGTTGCTTGCCACGTGAATTGGTATTCCTTTAGCGTTGGTATATTTCCAACAAACGGACAGGCCTAGGACTTGAATCCTCCGTTCGTGACGTAGTCCCCCCTTATTTGCGTGTAACCGCTCATGCGCATGTAAGGTCATTAAATATTTTTGTGGGATAGTCAGCTCTTGTTGGTGTGGGTGTAATTCCTCATCCATAGACAAGCGAGCGCACCACAATATATAACCCCATCAGATTTCTTTAACTCTTTCAGGAATCTGGATTTTAATCTGGCAGAATCCTATTTAATTTCTATTTAAGATTTTATACAAGAAAAGTGGCCGGGTGAAATAGATATTTTTATCCTATTCAAAATAAGTAGGTATAGCTGCACTATTTTATCCCTATTTTTCTGGTGGCCATCCTATTTCATTTCTATTTTTCAAACTGCACGCTATTCGTCTATTTCATTTCAATGATCTTTACTTAAATGTATTCAGTTGGTTTTTTTTGTTGCTTATTTTATGTATGTATACTGCTAAAGATACTCATTTATCAAATGTATGCAAATGATTTTGCATTACCGCCATGTGCGCACATTTCCAACATGAGAGATCATCTGCCATATGGATTTCTATGCTCTACATGTACAGGTATATTAAGTTGTAACCATTGTTTAGATACTATTTTTTTTAAATAGCGTCCTATATTGTTAATAGCAACCTATTTTACCACGATATTTTTTTACTATTTATGTCCCCCTTTTTTGGGTGGTGGCGAAATACAATGGAAAAAAATAGATTAAACAAAATATATTTTATTCAATAGGAATTTAAAGAAAAAAAAATCTCCATTTGTTTTTCAACCCAAGTGAGCAAATAGATTGCTGCAGGAACAAAACTAAATTACCACTAAAACATTATTTTCAGGCTGAAATTTGAAAATCACCAGGGCTGCTTACTGCACAAATAGCATTTGTCTTCTGATTCTATTTTTGTGGGGTCACCGGGGTCATGGAAACACTGACTGATATCTCTACACAGGAAACCTGCACCGGATGTGAGCAGAAAGTATCCGGTACAGTTCATGTATACACGGACTCCAACAGCTTCTTAAAATAGAACTGGGAATTTACGCACTGTGTGTAATGATAGTTCAACATTCATGTTCATGTACAGTGTATTGCATTCACATCAAACTGTGTAAACTACAGACATTGCAACATCTTTCAGAAGGATAAGTTTGAATTTCTTTCTAAAACTAACTTCAATTCAGGTAAGTGTATTTCATGTTGTTCACGTATTTAATTAATGACATTTGTTAAGAATCATGGAATAATATGCCAGGTTGTGCAGCACTGATCTTACCAAAGAGAGAGTCAATGCTCGAATGCATAATACTCTTAGATCTGCACAAACACTTTGTGTTCAGTCTACCTTGAGAGGACTAAAAAATATCCTTGATCTTACATTTGAATCTCACATAACAGTTAAAAAGTTGAACAAAGAACTTGATAAAGTGGAGATTGAACCTATATGACCAGCAGATTACTGTACTGATACTCTACTAACTGAGCTATCGCGGACCAGCCCTATGGGCGGTTCCTCAATTTGAAATTGTGTTTGTTCAAGGGGCACTAGTCAGAAGTCGTGGATAGGTTGATGCCATGTAGCCAGGGATCATGCCTTAAGTCACATTAGAAATGTTGCAAACCCTGAAAAGAGCACATAAACATTACTTTAATAAACTAAACAGTTGAGAAACTGTGTAGGTACATTGAAATAAATTAAAATTGTTAAACATTTTAATCCAGAAGCTGCGATGACCTTAATTTGTGCAAATAAACCAAATTGTAACTAAAACGATACTGGCCAAACAGCATTTTACCTCCATTTTTTTCTATTAATCCAGTGGAAAAACTAAGGGTTATTGAATTTTGCTGGAGCCAAAAAACAATTTCGGGGGTTAAAGAGTGGGACTACCAAATCACAAGTGCCTCCCTGCACATTGGTATGTCAAATTTTTTTTAATTAAAGGGAATATACATCATTTGCTTTTGCTGTAATTTTCAGAAATGGATGGAATTGGGGGGTTGGAAATATAAAGCAAATATAGTTTCACTGACTTTTTGGAGGTTTTGGGTTCGAAAATGCTATAAAAACCAAGAAAAACGATCATTTTCCTGTAGTCTGGTTCCCTGACTCCATATAGGAAGAAACAGAGCAGTTTACATACATTGGGGAATTGTAAGGTCAGGGAACCAGTCTAGCTGGCCCGTACCCGTTCATAGGTTTGTAATCGATTGCAAACAAGTGCAATGGTCAATTGGGGCCTGTATTTGAAAAAAAAGCCAGTTGTTTCCAACGCTGATCGGCCGATCAGCGTTGGAAATTGATACAAAAATACCACTTTTCTTGAAAATGACAGTATACCAGGTGCCATAATTTTACAGGATGCTTTAGACTGTCATTTACCAACATCCTATTAAGGTATTTCGCAAAAACTTGGTAGTTTTATTTTTCGATGTTTGCAAATGTTGTATATTCCCTTTAATAACGTACTATGTATCACAAAAATCTGAGAAAGCAAAACACGTTAACAATGTTGGAGATGATTAATAAGATCATTTTATAGATTGATGTCAACCTTTGACACTTTTATCCATTCTTAGGTTAAAACAAAATTGATCCTTCAAGAAGTCAGGATGGCATCTAGTGTTACAGCTCAATCAGTGTTGGAAAAGATTAGTGTGGATCATCTGGAATGCTCCATCTGCACAAACCGTTTCAGGCAGCCCAAACTGCTGGACTGTTTGCACAGTTTTTGCCTGCAATGCCTGCAAGAGCTCAGACAGAGCCAAGATCTTAGTGGTACAAAGCTGACATGTCCTCTGTGCAGACGTGAAACCATGTTGAAAGGGTCTGGGGTTGCTGATCTCCCTAATAACTTTGCATTCAGTGCCCTGGTGGAGGAAGTTACAATGCAGGAAAAGCTACTGGAAGGTCAAGGGTCAGAGATCAAATGCCAAGCCTGTGATGAGGAGAATCAGGCTTTGTCAAGATGCACGGACTGTGATCAGTTCCTGTGTCAAGAATGTCAAAAGGCTCATGGGCGTATGACTGTTATGAAATCTCACAAAATTTATACACTGGCTGAACTTCGATCAGGAGAGATTGTCTACAAGAGTAAACTAAGAGATGAAGTTCCCAAATGTGGCAAGCATCCAGATCAGAATCTCAACGTCTACTGTGACACATGTGAGCAAGTCATATGTCTCATGTGTACTGTTCTTGATCATGGGAATCCAAAACATTCCCTCATCGGCCTATCTGAGGCTTTTGGAAAGTGTAAGAACAAAGTTGAAGAACTTGTTTCTGAAGTCACCAAGAGTAAAACAGAACTAAACACCACCATAGAGAAGACTTGCACATCTCGCAAGAAACTCGACATCATGTTTGAAAACACCAAAAAGAAAATCTCAGAAAAAGCTGACCAAGAGGTTGCCAAAATCCGACAGGAGGAGCAGACACTGTTAACAGAGACCGACAGGATTTATCAAGAAAGAGTCACAACATTTGAGGCTGCTCAAGCTAATAACAGCAAAGCGATGACACAGACGAAGCACAAGTTGGAGGAGGTGAAACAACTCATGAATCAAGCGAGTTGCTACGAGATTCTTGAACTTCAGCAGAAGCTCTTGCATAACCTCAGTGAACTGACAGGGAAGCAGCCACAGCAAGTTCCTGACAAGTTGACCTTCATGGACTTTGAAGAAGGTGAGAGGTCACTTGGGAGACTCATTCTGAAAGAAGAGCCAAAGGCAGCAGCAAAGCAATCACTAAGACCTGCAAGATCATGTGTGATGGAGAAACGGGAACTGAAGACCGAAGAACAGTCAAGGGGTGCTGCGAAGCAATCACCAAGACTTGCAAGATCATGTGTGAAGGAGAAATGGGAACTGAAGACTGAATTCAAGAACTTTGAAGTAGGAAATACACAGATACGACATGTGTCAGCACTCTCTGACAATAACATAGTATTAACCAATTGGAATAATACACTATTCACAGTATCACTGACCAATAGTCAACATACACCATCTCCTATCACACAAAGGCTACAAATCAATGGCCTCACTGATGCAAGGTGTATTGCAGTGAGCAAGGATGACAAGCTCCTTGCCCTAGATGGTGCAGTAGTCAAGGTCTTCAACAAGCAACATCAGCTCCTCCATCAGTTCACACCAGGTATAGGGTCAGGCAACCATCCAACATGCCTCGCAGTGGATGACAGCAATCTGATAGCAGTGGGTTATGAAGTCAAGAATGAGATATCTCTACACAACCCAGATGGATCCCTCATCAGGAGACTGCCTGCTCCAATGATTGGAGGTTATCTGACAATGTACAATCACCGCCTGATCTACACAAACTATGGCAGCCGAAGGTTGGTATGTGTAGACTACTATGGTGCCAGTGTATTCCCAGTAGACATGACCAGCAACATGCAGGGCAGGGGTTGCTACCCTACTGGTGTGTGCTGTGGCAGTGATGGCAGCATCTATGTCGCTGTGTATGGATATCTAACAGGTAATATTCTGCATTACAGTCCTGATGGCAAGTACATTGGATGTGTGATCAAGGGATGTGGTTATCCACGTGGCATCTCATTCACATCAGGTGGTGATCTGGTAGTGGCTGAAGACCAGTCTGTAAAGGTCTATCACCGAGTGTAAGGACAGATTAATTCAACTGGAGCTATCCAGCGTATCCACCAACCAGCTTCCATCAGGCATTGAACATTGTCACTGAAAAAGAACTTGAAAGTACACTCCCTCTAATAATATTCTGCAATACTGTATATTTGGTTTATTTCTAAGGTCTTTGGTCTCTGTATGTGTTCTAATACCCTAACCACTTCCCCTTTCAAAAATCTTGGACTTCAACACCAAAACCACTTCCTATAAAATCTTAGATCTGGTGGTCCACTAATGAGAGCAAAGGAATGACCCTTCACATTGTTTGCAAATAGGGTAGAGTGCACATTTAAAAATATTATCAACGAGAGGGAAAGTACTACCATGAGCGGGCAATTCAATTTCCTCAAATTCATCTTAGCAAAATGCAAAGTCAATGCATGATGTGTTTTGCAAGTACAGTAAACTCCGGCTAAACTGGCACTCTCAGGACTTACAGGAATGGTCTTTTGCACACATGATTCATTGCACTCATTGGCTTCGATGTACCCTGGATTATCTCCTTATAATGCTTGAGTTGAATCCAGCAAATTAATCCTTGAATTGTATCATCATGTTTGGGGTATTGCACAGTAACAAATTAAATGCGCACGCATTGACTGCAGCAGTAGTCATTCAGTAAGACGACCCCCAAAATGGACAGAGCGCATGCGTACAGCCTAGAAGGGGTACTGGTATTGATATGATGTATGCAGCAAAGGTCCTTTATCACCGCGTAGTGGTATGCAGTAGGACACTCTTTTTCGACACTGATGCATGCAGTGATCACGGGCTGTGCGAAACCACTTTTCACATGACACTTTGCCAACCACAGTACAGGAAGTTGATGCCAATGCGTGAGTTGTTGAATGCCGACTTACACAAACGATTTTGTAATGCTTTTATGGAGAGGGGACCGAGAGTAACACGACGACTTGAGCAAAATGGTGACTTATAAAAGCTGACAATCGGGATTTTAGTCAGACGGCCGACTTGAGCAATTTGACGAGTTGTACGATGTCGGTTTAGCCAGAGTTTACTGTATAAGATATAACCCTGCTCCTGTATGAAATGTAAACATTTCCTTAAAGTTTGCTATTCGATTTTTCAATTATTCAAAAAAATTGTTGAGTTAAAAAAATGCAACTTAGTTTTGAATGAGAAAGTTTTTTCACCTCCGTATACATGAGACAAAAGTAAATACTCAAAAGCAGCTGGATGAAATATTTGTGATTTTGAACTCAAGCGGGAGTTAAAAGTAAATCATATGCAATCTTTCGGTTGTCTCTTTGACAGTGCTTTCTGATTCAATCATCAAATAACTATTTAGTTTCATTACATTTACAACCAAGTTGAAATGAAAACCTTGTGCATAACACTGCAATGATACATGGATGTTTGTAAATGTGGTTAGTATGATGGATGTACATTTGTAAACTGAGATCTTGTTTTTTTTTGCCTTTCTGAAATGTGATTTTTTTTTTTACTTTAAATACTACAGTTTAGATGCATTTGGAACATTCTATGAATTTGGGGTCCACTTTTTCCTGTCCCTATATGTCAGGCAGCTACGATTTTGTAACAGAATGCTTCTGAAAATCAAATGACTCACCCAAGAAATGTTAATTAGTTTGAAGTCATTTTTAATGCCACTTGAATGGCAAATTATATAAATTCAGAGGTTACAGGGACAGGAAAAATGTCCGACTTTGGACCCTAAATGTATAGAATGACCTACTTGTGAGAGGTTCCATATCATTACAATAATAGTTTAGTAAATTACATAAATGATTGAGGCTTTTTTTTTGGAATAAGTATTGGTTTGCTAAATGCTGATAGACCAAGTAGTCTAAATGAAGCAATGAGCATTTGCTTTAATTACAGATTCTCTCTCCAAGAGAATGCAGCTTCCATGACAACAATGGCATTTCAGCAAAGATCTAAACTCTGTTATTTTACCAATCAGCATCTGGAACTTTCTAAAGGTACCAGCGGCGCAACTAGGGTTGGAAGTTTTTTTTGTAAGTACTAGGATAATTTTATTTTTCATGGGCTTTTGTTTTCTCAAAGACTTTGGAATAGTAGTCTCTATTGAAAAGGTGGATACGATGAAAATGGAATGTCATCGGCGTTTTCTTGTGTGGAAAAGGTCAAGACACACTCAGATTTACAGTATTATAGGAGAAACACTGGGGCATTGAAAACATCTAAACAGTAAAGTGTTTATATTGTGTATGATTGGTCCAAAAGATTATAGCGGGCAGCTATTGAAAACATACATTTGTACATGTACAAACTCAACTACCCGGAATGTAATCAAGTTGTGCGGTTCTTCTAATACTTTGTAGATTAAATGAGATTAAAAACATTGCCAATTTGTGAAATAAATATATATATATGTACAACCATTAATTATAAGTACACTACATTGTAACTTCTACAAAATGAACTTACCTGTACATGGAAGTACATTGGGGAATCTGTTCTTGTTTTTGCAGACAGGTTTCTGGGCTTCCTAATACAGTTGACTGCCACTGACATTTCAAATAGCACCTACAGTTCAAAGTGAACAAATTGACAACATACTACTTTTTCTCTTTCGAGCTCGGACTTCAATTACAATTAACAATTGTTGGCAGGTGTGATGTGGGATATGACAACACCCTAGGAGTGCATTTCACCTCTGGTGCTATGCACCCCGAGGGGGTTAAAACGGCATATCCCACATCACAGCGGTCAACAATTGTTTTGTTACATCGTATCAGAAAGTCAATATGATAAATGCTTGTAACCTACTATGCAAGAAATATTAAAAATCAGTGCCGTGTAACCGGTGATAACTGCAGGCTTACCCGCCGGACATGAGACTGAGTGGTTGTGCATATGCATTGCACACAGCTCAGTCCAGCGCGCGTACAGGTCCCACGGGCCCATGCGCAACATGCATTGTACCAGTATATGAGGTTAGCCATTGTACATATGTTTTTAGACTAGACATGTGGCCATTCTCAACCAATGACATTACAGTATCTGAGCACATGATGTATTAAACATAATCAAGTTATGTTTTGCTGGCTTAAACGTTTAGGCCATCGGCTGGATGTTAACATTTGTTTGTTTCGCTCCAGCAATCGCAGGTCTAGATTTTCTTGACAGTTTTACTGAAATACTCTACCAAAGAATGATATTGTAGAAGTTCTCCACATTTCGTCCTGCAGGTTTTTGATAATTTGACTCGAAAAAGCGAACTATTTGTTCATTGTGAAAGTTCAAAAATGTACTGTGTTACGTTCAATCATACCAAGCAATCATACCACGTGACGTGAACTGTCTTATAAGACATCAGATAGGAAATTGTAGGTCATGACACCCAACAAACATGGCGGCGTCCATTGCCGATGGTGCGTCAACGTTTCACGTAAACATCAACCGATGCAAGTGTATTTGTTTTAATGCATATAGAATCTGTCAAGTTTGAGGGAAAAAACAAAGGATCTTATGTCCGGGGATATTAGGCCTATAAGTTCACTGCCAAAGAGGAGATTGCAGAGTTTCGACATCCGTATTTCAAATTGCACTTCACAAACATAAATTTGTGATGACTACATGTACATGATGATGTCAAGAATCCTACTACAAAAAAAAGAATTTAGAATTCAACATGTTCTATTTGCGAGATATGGCTTTAGGTTTAAAAATTAATCAATTCATTACAAATCATACGATCATGTCATAGTGACGTCAAATCGATCATGCATCGCCTAAAACACATCCCGGTCTACCAACATACCAAATCTGAACCAAATCGGACTTGTAGTTCTCTAGATATACATGTACATGTAGGAACTTAAAATGTACACCAATAGAGATGATGTCACGTGACCCCTGATGACGTCATGATGACGTCACTCTTCTGGAGATGAGTTTACTATGGAGTCTATGCATAAGTTGAGTTTTAAGGGAAAACAACTTTGTCTTTATTTTACCAAAAGTACTTGGTGGAATAAACCATGTACAAAGTACAGATGGTTACAACTTAATTGATCATTTTGTTCAAGATTTCTAGGTGAAAGTAGATCATCATTTTTTTCAAACAAATTTGCCTGTACATTGTAATTTGACACCCGTTCATGTCATCATGACATCAGAGTAATATGCACCACTAGGGATGAGGGTCGATATATGTAAAAAATTACAAGTTCATACCATATACCGTTTAGGAGAAAACCTGAGGTGAATTATTGTCCAGAAAAAAAGAAAGAAAGAAAGGAAGATTTATTAAAACAATAAACAGTGGTGGGGTTGTGCGCGGCCACTCAATAAGTCATTTTTTTTAACTTGCCACTATGACTGAACTCCGGGCATATACAATAATGGAGCTTTAACATGAAACGGATACAGGTCAACTTGTACGTGACAAACTTGTACGCAGGACAACTCATACGCATGAGTATAGACTAGCGTAGTACAAGTACATGTGATGTACTGAAACTTTTTTTCGGGTCACATGGATAGAGGAAATTAGGGCAAGAATTACACACATGAACAATGGCATCACTAACTTTCCCTGCAGTGACCAGCAGCCCTCAGGAAGCGATAACATGTCCTAGAAGGCAAATTTAGCAGGCAAAATATGGAAGCATTTACTGACAAAACACTTAGAATTCTTCAGACCAGTCTCATAGGGTTTGTGCACAGGGTGCCAAGTGATGTCCAGGTATGGAATTCTTTTGGAAGGTCGGCATGATGTTTATTCTGAAGGAGAGCATTTGATGTTACTGCGTTAGTTGATTTTGAAATCAGCTTTTTATTGCTTATGCATTTTCCCCCCTGACCATCAGACACTGTTCTGGCCCACACCGTGTGATACGACAAGACAATACCACCCGTAGTGAGAATTTTAATCGTATATCAAAACGATCCACTGCATTTGTAGACTTTAACATACACTGCTAAATACATTGGACTGCGCTGTGTGCAAATCAAATCATTGTACATGTATGGGCAAAAACAAACTCTGCATGTAGATCGCGCGCAGTCATGTCCCGGCCCCTGCTTCACGTACGTGTTTGTATGTGTACATGATGTACGTCCATAGTACCATATACAATGCGTTGGTAGATAAAAGCCATAAGCCTTTTTGAATGATCGCTGTATGATGTCTGTTCAATAGTGGTTGAATTTCATGGATTTTCAACCAAAAAATATTTGTGAGTATGATTGAAGTCCCATTACCTCGTCTTTGATATGTGGAAATGCCAGTAGGTGCTTTCAAAGGTATTTTTGTCAAGTATTTTGTGTGATTTTTGTGGTGAACTTTGAAATTGTCACTTTGACAATATTTCCGCTGTGGGATGCTAGTATGACAGACCAACTCCCAAATGTCAAAAAAAGAAGTTCTAGCGCCCCAGTTAGTGGGACTAGGTTTAGAGTATTAAATAAATCAAGGTTTCACTCACCAATATATGGTGTTATTCACAAGTAGACTGCAAATTTATCTCAAGTCAAGCAGCAATCCTCCAAATTATCACAAAAGTCTAAACTTAATCCTTGCACTGGCAGTTCATTTAAATTTAACTTCATGACGGCAAGCACCTCGTCATGGGGCAACGAAGTTCGAGTTCCAAGTGACCAGTCAAATCTCATTTCATTGGTTTTCCCGTGCTGCCGTGCATCACTTGATATGCTGAAGTGCGGTCTCAGCAGGCTCGTCATACAGACCCCGCTGGGCCTGTCCGGGAGGAATCCGTTCCGATTCGGTGGGGAGGCCTCTCTGTTCCCGGAGTCAATTCGAGATTTGTGAGCTTTATGTAGCTCAATTTAAACGAATTCCACTCGCCAAGTTGGTGCAGAAGACTCACCAAGCACTCAGCAAGTTGTTGACAAACCTGTAAACGTGTAGCTGGCTGCATAGAAGCAGAAGTAGAAGTAAATAAATCCTCGGCGCGAGGGAGGTACAAAAACAG